AATTCATTGCTGTTATCTTCTTGAATTTCGCCATAAACCATACAATAGGTGGCGCTGAGTTCGGAGAGGGTAGTGTAATTTTCAAAACACACATCATAATTGTCCAATGTATGGAGGGGTGGCAATTCATGCCGCTGATCTGAAAGGGCGATTTAAAGAGTTATGTATTATTTTTTTGGGGAATATTTTGGTACTAACATTGAACATTGTTATCGGCATGGGCTTGACACACAAATAATATCACTAAAATTACACTTTTTGTGAACATTTTTCAACAAAACTTCTATTTTTTTATAAAAAACAATTTTCAGGTTCCGCAGCAGATCAATGAGTAACTATGGTAAAGCGATAACCAACAATATTGAACTAGATACGTTTAAATACGTTTAGCGACAAATCTAATACTTAAATATTGTCATCACATACGAAAGATAACACTGTGCAACAAATAAAATTAATCGGCGCATTTTTTTTTTTTTTTTTAAGAAAATTTTTCGAAGCTCTACAGTGGTTGTGGCTTTTTAAAGAATATTTTTAAGGGCTGTTATAAGGCGTGGATTTTTAAAGAATATTTTTACAAGGCTTCAAGAAGGCGTAGATGTTTTTAAGAACGCTTTTTCCTGCTTTATAAGAAGCGTGGATTATTAACGAATATTTTTTGAAAGATCTAGAGAAGGTTTGGTATATGGCATATTTTCAGGTCTCCAATAAGGCGTTGATTTTGTAAAGATTATTTTTTTGGTCTACAGGAGGCGTTGATATCTTCATTTCTGGGTTAAAACGGATTAAATTGTTGAAACATATTTTTCTAAGGCTAATCGAAGGCTTGAATTTCCTTCAGGATTTTTTTCCGGTCTTCTATAAGGCGTCAATTTATTAAAGAATATATTGAAGGCCCTATAGAAATTTTGAAGTTATTAAAGAATATTTTTCAAACCCATATTTTGTATTTATTAAAGACTATTTTTCAAGGGCCAACTGAGGCGTGGATTTATTAAAGACTATTTTTCAAGGGCCAACTGAGGCGTGGATTTATTAAAGACTATTTTTCAAGGGCCAACTGAGGCGTGGATTTATTAAAGACTATTTTTCAAGGGCCAACTGAGGCGTGGATTTATTAAAGACTATTTTTCAAGGGCCAACTGAGGCGTGGATTTGAGGCGTGGATTTATTAAAGACTATTTTTCAAGGGCCAACTGAGGCGTGGATTTATTAAAGAATTTTTTTCAAGGGCCAACTGAGGCGTGGATTTATTAAAGAATATTTTTCAAGGGCCAACTGAGGCGTGGATTTATTAAAGAATATTTTTCAAGGGCCAACTGAGGCGTGGATTTATTAAAGAATATTTTTCAAGGGCCAACTGAGGCGTGGATATATTTCATTAAAGAATATTTTTTCCAATTTTTCAAGGGCCAACTGGGCGTGGATTTATTAAAGAATATTTTTCAAGGGCCAACTGAGGCGTGGATTTATTAAAGAATATTTTTCAAGGGCCAACTGAGGCGTGGATTTATTAAAGAATATTTTTCAAGGGCCAACTGAGGCGTGGATTTATTAAAGAATATTTTTCAAGGGCCAACTGAGGCGTGGATTTATTAAAGAATATTTTTCAAGGGCCAACTGAGGCGTGGATTTATTAAAGAATATTTTTCAAGGGCGTGGATTTATTAAAGAATATTTTTCAAGGGCCAACTGAGGCGTGGATTTATTAAAGACTATTTTTCAAGGGCCAACTGAGGCGTGGATTTATTAAAGAATATTTTTCAAGGGCCAACTGAGGCGTGGATTTATTAAAGAATATTTTTCAAGGGCCAACTGAGGCGTGGATTTATTAAAGAATATTTTTCAAGGGCCAACTGAGGCGTGGATTTATTAAAGAATATTTTTCAAGGGCCAACTGAGGCGTGGATTTATTAAAGACTATTTTTCAAGGGCCAACTGAGGCGTGGATTTATTAAAGACTATTTTTCAAGGGCCAACTGAGGCGTGGATTTATTAAAGACTATTTTTCAAGGGCCAACTGAGGCGTGGATTTATTAAAGACTATTTTTCAAGGGCCAACTAAGGCGTGGATTTATTAAAGACTATTTTCCCAGGCTCGCATAAGGCGATTTCCAAGCGAGCGCAAATCCACCAATTTGGAAGGCCACGTTCCAAGATGTTTATTTTCTACTTGATCTTTCCATCTAATTCGTGGCCTTCCCCTTCTACTGGAACCATCAGTTGGCTCGCTTTTATATGCATTTTGAGCTGGTGCATTCTCATTCATTCGCACAACATGGCCTAGGTACCGTAGTTGCTGTAGCTCAATACGACTGACAATGTCGATGTCCGCGTATAAATTGTAAAGCTCATAGTTCATTCGACGCCGATATTCACCGTCGATGCAGATCGGCTCGTAGATCTTTTGGAGAATTTTTCTTTCAAACACCCCAAGAGCTGCCTCATCTGCTTGCGCAAGTACCCATGCTTCAGATCCATATAACAGCACGGGTAGTATCAGCGTCTTGTAGAGTGTGAGTTTGGTCAGGCGGGAGGTGGCCTTGTTTCTAAACTGCTTACTTAGACCATAGTAGTATCTGCTGGCCATCACAATCCTTCTCCGAATTTCAAAACTGATGTCATTCGTTTTATTTATGGCCAAGGTATATACAATCTTTAACTACCTCGAATTTGTAGTTCTCAAGTTCCACAGTTGGTCCGAGTCTACTAGACGTCTTGCGCGTTGATACCATCAGCTTGGTATTCTCGCCGTTTACTGCCAGAACCACTTTGGCAGACTCCTTTGCAATATGTTCAAAGGTGGCTGTTACCGCTCGCAATGTTCGACCCATTATATCGATGTCATCGGCGTAGGCAAGTAACATGTGTTGTTTGGTGTACAGAGTGTCATTTCTTTTTACTTTTACCTGTCGTATGACCTTTTCCAGCAGGATATTAAAAAGATCACACGACAAACTGTCACCTTGTCGGAATCCTCGTTCGGTATTGGAGGGTGATGCTGGTGACCAGCATCTGGCCACCAGTCTTGAATAGTTCGGCTGATCACCCATCAGCTCCTGTTGCTTTATTGTTCTTGAGCCGATTAATTCCTTTTATGACCTCATCTTGGCTAGGTGGTATACACTCTATACCATCATCTCTTATTGGTTCCTGGGTATCTTCTTCAACGCCACTATTTGATACTAGTAGCTTTTCGAAATGCTCCTTCCAGATCCTCAACACGCTGTCTGTATCTGTCACCAGGTTTCCTTCTTCATCTCTACAGGAGAATGTGCCTGCACCAAAGCCTTCGGTTTGATGTTTTAGTCGTTGGTACAATTTCCTGACTTCATTCTGACTTGTGTACATCTCGATTTGCTCACGCTCACATTTTTCTTGTTCTTTCTTCTTTTTTTCTGAAAACATGTTTCTCCTCTCTCCCTTTCTCCCGATAATTCTCCATCACACTGCGTGTTGCTACTGTCCGCAGGGTTGCCATGTACGCTGCGTTTTCCACATCAGTAGCATTACGACACCCCTGATTGTACCACGGATTTCTTGATGGTGGTCTTTGGTACCCAAGTGTTGCTTTTGCTGCAGTTTGTAGGGAATGGGCAATTCTTTGCCATTGTGCTTCTATACTATTATCGGGACAAGAAGTGTTTTCTTCAAGCAGGTGGGTAAGCTGAGCAGACTAGGCCTCGGCTACCTGTTTTATTTACTGCTTTTCGATGTCGAGTTTCCGTGTTGTGTTAGATCGTACCTTTGCTGCTAGATTAGGACGGGTGCGAACCTTGGCTGCCACAAGGTAATTGTCCGAATCGATTTTCGCTCCTCAGATCGATCGGACGTCTAAAACACTGGGCGAATGCCTTCCGTCTATCACAACATGATCAATTTGATTTCTCATTGCTTGATCAGGACAGATCCAGGTGGCCTTGTGTATATCGAGATGCTTGAATATGGTGCTGCTAGCTACCATGTTTTTTGCTGCCGCGAAGTCAATCAACCTCATGCCGTTGTCGGATGTTTCTTCATGAAGGCTAAATTTTCCAACGGTGGAGCCAAAGATATTTTCCCTTCCGATTTTTGCATTAAAATCTCCCAGCAGAATTTTAATGTCATGGCCGGGGCAACGGTCATATGCTGGAGCCAAAGATATTTTCCCTTCCGATTTTTGCATTAAAATCTCCTAGCAGAATTTTAATGTCATGACCAGGGCATCGATCATATGCTGTTTCTAGGCGCTCGTAAAATATGTCTTTGGTCTGTTCATCTTTGTCTTCCGTCGGAGCATGGGGGCAAATGAGACTGATTTAGAAGAACTTCGCTTTTATACGGATTATAGCAATTCGTTCATCTACTGGAGTGAATCTGGAGACGAGGTCTTTTATTCTCCTATTAACCATAAATCCGCAGCCAAATTCGCGTCTCGTTTCATGACAGCTATAATACAGGGCGTAATCGTCTGATTTACTTACGCCTGTCCCTTTCCATCGCATTTCCTGTAAGGCAATAATATCGGCTTTGTACTTCTTGAGTACATCCGCCAAAGCGAACACTGCGCCTGTTCTGTACAACATGCGCACATTCCAAGTGCAGATTCGCAGATCGTGGTCCTTTATACGTTTGCGGGGGTCGTCAATATTGGTTTGGTTTGGTTTTCATTTTCTTTGCTTTTTCATAGTAGATTGGGTTTTCCGAGTGTGGGAAACTAACCCGACGCCTCAACCTATTTTTTATAGATCTTATGGGTGAACTTGCGGTACATATTAGCTCACTATTTCATCGGGTGATGAAAATAGCTCCCCACGTGGTACCACGACGAGGTCAGTGTCCACAATTGAGATGAAAGAGGGACCAAGATAAGCCAATCAGAGCCGTTGCTTGGTATCTATCACCCCCTACGCCACCCCATAAGGCGGGGATTTTTAAAAGACAAACAAAATAAATATTTTCCAGCATTTATTCGGGTTGTTATTATTTAAAAATTTTAATAAATCAATTAAATATAAAATCTATTGGATCTTTGCCTCCTTCTCAGGTTTCACTGAAAATTACAAAAAAACGAAACACATTCACAAAAGAATTAAAAATGAATACAAACAGTAATGGTTCTACCTGTATCCACTTTCTTTCTTTGCACCACTAATGCCTCTAAGGCCTGTGAAAATGGTAGTTCCAGAAGCAAATAGCCGAAAAATGCCACCACCGTCGAAAACATTAAAGTGATCATAGTTTGGGAATTCTGAAAAAATAAAAAAATTAAACATTATTTTGAAAAATGTATAAGAAAAATATATCGAACTTACAAATTGCACCATATTAAGATATTGCGGCTGCCGATGATAGGTCGTCGTCACCTGAAGTATCAAGCAATGCCACAGATAAATTTGTGGGGTTAGGCGAGCAAATACACGAAATATTGGTAGACTACAAAATTCACTGGCAAGTGCTGGAAAAATATTTATTTTAAAATAAATTTCTGAATGGTTTACTACTCGGCTACTTACACTCCCTATTGCTTGCCATAGCCACGACTGGTATACCACACACCAATATAATCCAGAAATTACGATGTAGACCCGTATACAAGGCAGTCCATATAGAGGGTTCATGGAATATAACAATTGACCCTATATAATTTATTAAAAATCCAGCCATGGGGGGCACAATCCATAAATATTTAAATATTTTTTGGAAACGTTGACGTTTCTCTTCGTCGCACAGATAGTTCTGATATATTTCACCACACACCAAACCGCAGAGGTAACCACCCAAATTTGTATAGAATGGCGTATAGGTGTGGGTATAGAGTTTATAATCTTTAATAAAATTATAACGATACGTTCTGCAAATAATAAATATCTTCATTTTTAATGGAGTTATACAATGTCGAGTTTTGAACTTACTCTGGTCTTAGCATAAATGAAGAATCCAATTTGAAGACATAACTTATGGTGGTTGGTATGATGACTGCCAAACAGCCCATTGTAAGGAGGATAGATTTTTTATACTTTGGGAATCTGGAAAAGAGACGATTTATAAGGAAAATAAAAACAAAATATGTTTTAGGGCTACCAAAAGGCGTGGATTTATTTAAAAATATTTTTCGGAGCTCCTATAAGGTGAGGATTTATTTAAAAATATTTCAAGGGGCTCCTATTTAAACATATTTTGTCAGGGACACTATGAGACGTGGAATTAAAATATTTTTTAATAAATCCACGCCTCAGAGTCCTGAAAAATATATTTAAATAATCCACCCCTTGTGGTAGCCATATTTTGGCCTTGAGAAAATTCCGTTAAAATATCCGAACCCACCTAATGTCTACTTACTTGAACATAATAATTAAAAACATTGTGTATAAAGCTAATAATTGAAAATCCGCTGCCAAATACCAAGTATACGGATTTACCTGTAAAAAATTAATTAATAAAAATAGTAAGGAAAGTAGTAAAGTCGAACTGGGCCGACTATATGATACCCTTCACCACTTTGGGTATATTCTTTATATGTATCCCAAAAGACGTCGCATTTTGGAAGGAACATTGACATGAAATTGAACGAACTTATAAATGTGATCTTTATCTATATCTAACCCGACTATCATCAATCCCTGTACATGTCATTCTGCAACCTATGCTAAATTTTGTAAATCGATTTAAAGCAAACTTGACACACCCTATTCGGTATGTTGTACTGTTTAAAATTGTATCTACGTACTGAAGTTAACGATGTGTCAATCGCCCTAACTATGGATTTTTAGTGCACCATTTACTTAAAATCGGAGGTGCATGTAAATCTGAACCGATTTTCACGAAATTTAACACACATCGTTTTAGACTTAATTCAGTGCGCTATGCCAAATTTCGTGCAAATCGGAAGACATATAGGGACTTTGGTACACCATTTACCTTAAATCGTGCGAAAACATATATGGGAGCTATATCGAAATCTGAACCGATTTTCACGAAACTTAACACACATCACTATAGACTTAATTCAATACGCTGTGCCAAATTTCGTGCAAATCGAAAGATATATAGGTACTTTGGTGCACCATTTACCTTAAATCGGGCGAAAATATATATGGGAGCTATATCGAAATCTGAACCAATTTTCACTAAATTAAACACACATCGTTCTAGACTCAATTCAGTACGCTGAGCCAAATTTCGTGCAAATCGAAGGATATATAGGGACTTTGGTGCAATATTTACCTCAAATCGGAGGAAACTATATATGGGAGCTATATCGAAATCTGAACCGATTTTCACGAAACTTAACACACATCACTATAGACTTAATTCAATACGCTGTGCCAAATTTCGTGCAAATCGAAAGATATATAGGTACTTTGGTGCACCATTTACCTTAAATCGGGCGAAAATATATATGGCAGCTATATCGAAATCTGAACCGATTTTCACGAAATTAAACACACATCGTTCTAGACTCAATTCAGTACGCTATGCCAAATTTCGTGCAAATCGAAGGATATATAGGGACTTTGGTGCACTATATACCTCAAATCGGAGAAAACTGTATATGGGAGCTATATCGAAATCTGAACCGATTTTCACGAAACTTAACACACATCACTATAGACTTAATTCAATAAGCTGTGCCAAATTTCGTCCAAATCGAACGATATATAGGGACTTTGGTGCCCCATTTACCTTAAATCGGACGCAAATATATATGGGAGCTATATCTTAATGTGAACCGATTTTTCCCAATTTCAATAGAGTTCGTCCTTGGGCCGAATAAGTGACCTGTGCCAAATTTCATCCAATTCGGATTATAAATGCGACCTGTACATTGTTTACAATTTAACATGAACAGACAGACGGACGGACAAACCTGCATAAATCGACTTAGAAAATGATTCTATGCATATTCTCAAGAGGAACCATGTGTCTATCTCGTTTCCTTTTGCCTGTTACAAACATGTGTCTATGTCGTGTAATCTCGTTTCCTTTTGCCTGTTACAAACATGTGTCTATGTCGTGTCTATCTCGTTTCCTTTTGCCTGTTACAAACATGTGTCTATGTCGTGTCTATCTCGTTCCCTTTTGCTTGTTACAAACATATGTACAAAGACATAATACCCTGTACCACAGTGTGGTGAAGGGTATAAAAATATTCAAATTTGTTTTCTTTACAGTATCCCGCGGTGAAAAATTATTAATCATTAATAGATTTTTCCACCAATTTTCACGGCTAAAGATGCGACTAGGTTCGTTGAGATGACGCCAAAAAGGACCGTCACCAAAACGTTGCAAAATTGTTGCATTCACACCGATCATGGCAATCAGGGTGGGAAGGAATCTAGGGTTAAAAAAAGAACTTTATAAATATAAAAACAATTTCAAAAATTATCTCAAAATACTAACCTCACATAACGACTGATTTGTATTAGCACAAAGATTTGCAAACATTTTTTCCAATTACTGTGCGGTCTTACTGTCATCGTTTGAGAAATTTTCATATGCAGCAGCAGACCACTCATTATCATAAATGTCTCCGTGATTACGGTGCTATTGAGAATCATTAATCCTATGCTGGATTTTCCAAAATTTTCAAAAAATTCTGGATTTGCAATTGGCTGGCATTCTAAATAGAAGGAATGGGCACAGAGTACTAGTACGGTGCTTATCGATCGCAAACCATCTAAATAGGCAAATGGTTCACCCACCTCACTGCGATATGGCTGGGTTAGACGGAAATAGTTGCGGCTAAGTGAAAATGAGGTCAAGAGGCGCCAACCTGAAACCCCAAAAAGAGAGAGGGGAATTTATAAAATATGGTATCAAAAAAATATTTGTTAAAATCGCCGAAAGAAGTCTCAATTTTTAAAGAATATTTTTTCCTATAAGGCGTGGATTTTTTAAAGAATATTTTTTCAAGGCTCCTATAAGGCGTGGATTTTTTAAAGAATATTTTTTCAAGGCTCCTATAAGGCGTGGATTTTTTAAAGAATATTTTTTCAAGGCTCCTATAAGGCGTGGATTTTTTAAAGAATATTTTTTCAAGGCTCCTATAAGGCGTGGATTTTTTAAAGAATATTTTTTCAAGGCTCCTATAAGGCGTGGATTTTTTAAAGAATATTTTTTCAAGGCTCCTATAAGGCGTGGATTTTTTAATGAATATATTCAAGGCTCTACAGAAGGCGTGGATTTTTTAAAGAATATTTTTTCAAGGCTCCTATAATGCGTGGATTTTTTAAAAAATATTTTTTCAAGGCTCCTATAAGGCGTGGATTTGTTAAAGAATATTTTTTCAAGGCTCCTATAAGGCGTGGATTTTTTAAAGAATATTTGTTCAAGGCTCCTATAAGGCGTGGATTTTTTAAAGAATATTTTTTCAAGGCTCCTATAAGGCGTGGATTTTTTAAAGAATATTTTTTCAAAGCTCCTATGAGGCGTGGATTTTTTAACGAATATTTTTTTAAGGCCCATATACGGCGTGGATTTATTAAAGAATATCTTTAAGGCTCCTATAAGGCGTGCATTTTTTAAAGAATAGTTTTCAAGGCTCCTATAAGGCGTGGATTTTTTAAAGAATATTTTTTCAAGGCTCCTATAAGGCGTGGATTTTTTAAAGAATATTTTTTCAAGGCTCCTATAAGGCGTGGATTTTTTAAAGAATATTTTTTCAAGGCTCCTATAAAGCGTGGTTTTTTTAAAGAATATTTTTTCGAGGCTCCTATAAGGCGTGGATTTTTTAAAGAATATTTTTTCAAGGCTCCTATAAGGCATGGATTTTTTAAAGAATATTTTTTCAAGGCTCCTATAAGGCGTGGATTTTTTAAAGAATATTTTTTCAAGGCTCCTATAAGGCGTGGATTTTTTAAAGAATATTTTTTCAAGGCTCCTATAAGGCGTGGATTTTTTAAAGAATATTTTTTCAAGGCTCCTATAAGGCGTGGATTTTTTAACGAATATTTTTTTAAGGCCCATATACGGCGTGGATTTATTAAAGAATATCTTTAAGGCTCCTATAAGGCGTGCATTTTTTAAAGAATAGTTTTCAAGGCTCCTATAAGGCGTGGATTTTTTAAAGAATATTTTTTCAAGGCTCCTATAAGGCGTGGATTTTTTAAAGAATATTTTTTCAAGGCTCCTATAAGGCGTGGATTTTTTAAAGAATATTTTTTCAAGGCTCCTATAAAGCGTGGATTTTTTAAAGAATATTTTTTCAAGGCTCCTATAAGGCGTGGATTTTTTTAAAGAATAGTTTTTCAAGGCTCCTATAAGGCGTGGTTTTTTTAAAGAATATTTTTTCGAGGCTCCTATAAGGCGTGGATTTTTTAAAGAATATTTTTTCAAGGCTCCTATAAGTCATGGATTTTTTAAAGAATATTTTTTCAAGGCTATGAAGGAGGCATGGATTTTTTAAAGAATATTTTTTCAAGGCTCCTATAAGGCGTGGATTTTTTAAAGAATATTTTTTCAAGGCTCCTATAAGGCGTGGATTTTTTAAAGAATATTTTTTCAAGGCTCCTATAAGGCGTGGATTTTTTAACGAATATTTTTTTAAGGCCCATATACGGCGTGGATTTATTAAAGAATATCTTTAAGGCTCCTATAAGGCGTGCATTTTTTAAAGAATAGTTTTCAAGGCTCCTATAAGGCGTGGATTTTTTAAAGAATATTTTTTCAAGGCTCCTATAAGGCGTGGATTTTTTAAAGAATATTTTTTCAAGGCTCCTATAAGGCGTGGATTTTTTAAAGAATATTTTTTCAAGGCTCCTATAAGGCGTGGATTTTTTAAAGAATATTTTTTCAAGGCTCCTATAAGGCGTGGATTTTTTAAAGAATATTTTTTCAAGGCTCCTATAAGGCGTGGATTTTTTAAAGAATATTTTTTCAAGGCTCCTATAAGGCGTGGATTTTTTAATGAATATATTCAAGGCTCTACAGAAGGCGTGGATTTTTTAAAGAATATTTTTTCAAGGCTCCTATAATGCGTGGATTTTTTAAAAAATATTTTTTCAAGGCTCCTATAAGGCGTGGATTTTTTAAAGAATATTTTTTCAAGGCTCCTATAAGGCGTGGATTTTTTAAAGAATATTTTTTCAAGGCTCCTATAAGGCGTGGATTTTTTAAAGAATATTTTTTCAAGGCTATGAAGGAGGCATGGATTTTTTAAAGAATATTTTTTCAAGGCTCTTATAAGGCGTGGATTTTTTAAAGAATATTTGTTCAAGGCTCCTATAAGGCGTGGATTTTTTAAAGAATATTTTTTCAAGGCTCCTATAAGGCGTGGATTTTTTAAAGAATATTTTTTCAAGGCTCCTATGAGGCGTGGATTTTTTAACGAATATTTTTTTAAGGCCCATATACGGCGTGGATTTATTAAAGAATATCTTTAAGGCTCCTATAAGGCGTGCATTTTTTAAAGAATATTTTTTCAAGGCTCCTATAAGGCGTGGATTTTTTAAAGAATATTTTTTCAAGGCTCCTATAAAGCGTGGATTTTTTAAAGAATATTTTTTCAAGGCTCCTATAAGGCGTGGATTTTTTAAAGAATATTTTTTCAAGGCTCCTATAAGGCGTGGATTTTTTAAAGAATATTTTTTCAAGGCTCCTATAAGGCGTGGATTTTTTAAAGAATATTTTTTCAAGGCTCCTATAAGGCGTGGATTTTTTAAAGAATATTTTTTCAAGGCTCCTATAAGGCGTGGATTTTTTAAAGAATATTTTTTCAAGGCTCCTATAAGGCGTGGATTTTTTAAAGAATATTTTTTGAAGGTTCCTACAATTTTTTCAAGGCTCTACAGTCCAACCAACTACTTACCTGGTTCTTCTATATTATTTTTATAAAATTCCTTGGTTTGTTTCTCCTTTGGCTGTTTGGATTTTAGAAAATAATCGAAAAATGTTGACAGCACCACCAATAGCAAAATAACTTTGAAAAACATAAATAAACCCGATTCTACGATATCTGGAAGAAACTGAATTAGTAAACATTTTGTTATTAAAAACAATTCAAATTTTTCCTCTTACCCTTTTCCCCTCCATCAATTTCCCCTGGTCTTCTACGCTCACAATATTCCACAAAGGTTTTCAATTTCAAACCATATTTTCTTTGGAATTCTTCATTCAAACACCGATGAATCAGTCGAGAATACTTTGAACGTATTTCAAGATCCAATGGCTGGTTGTGTACTTGTTCGAAAAATTGGGTGATCTTGAAAAATAAATTAATTTAAATATTTGTTTTTTTTTTGTGTTTTGTTTAATAAAAACAGGTGTTTATACCCACATCATTGTTAATGGTGAAATTTCCATCAGTGAGCTGCTGATTCTCCATAAATTCCATACATCGACTGAGACAAAGTCCAAAAAATAAACGATCATTTCGATAGTGATATTTAAAGGCATTATGCGTCCTGATTTTTTGCCACAAATCATTGCTGTTATCTTCTTGTATTTCGGCATAAACCATACAATAGGTGGAACCAAGTTCGGAGGAGGTAGTGTTATTAACAAAGCAAACATCATAATTTTCGAATGTGTACAGGGGTGGTAAATCGTGTCGTTGATCTGAAATCGGCGAATAACATATACTTTTTGAAGTCAGAAATCTAACAAAAATTTAAAATTCCACTAACATTTTATTTCAAATTCCGCATGGATTTGGAACACATATAACATCACCAATATTAAACATTTTACGAACATTTTTATTTTGCAAAAAAACTTTTATTTTTTTATAAGAAAACAATTGTAGATTTTGTTCAGGTTCCGATGTTAAGCAATAGGTAGCTAATATAACGCGATAACAACCGTTATTGGACCAGACACGTTTGAACGCCTTTTGCGACAAATTTATCATTTAAATAATGTCATAGCACACGCCAATAACACTGTGCAACCAAAATATAATCGGCCAATTTTTTTAAAGATTATTTTCTCTACACAAGGCGTGGATTTTTTAAAGAATATATTTTCAATGCTCTACACAAGGCGTAGATTTTTTAAAGAATATTTTTTCAAGGGTCTACACAAGGCGTGGATTTATTAAAGAATATTTTTTCAAGGCTCCGAAGAAGGCGTGGATTTTTTAAAGAATATTTTTTCAAGGATCTACACAAGGCGTGGATTTTTTAAAGAATATTTTTTCAAGGCTCTACAGAAGGCGTGGATTTTTTAAAGAATATTTTTTCAAGGCTCTACAGAAGGCGTGGCTTTTTTAAAGAATATTTTTTCATGGCTCTAAAGAAGGCGTGGATTTTTAAAGAATATTTTTCAAGGCTCTACATAAGGCGTGGATTTTTTAAAGAATATTTTTTCAAGGCTCTAAAGAAGGCGTGGATTTTTAAAGAATATTTTTTTAAGGCTCTAAAGAAGGCGTGGATTTTTAAAGAATATTTTTCAAGGCTCTACATAAGGCGTGGATTTTTTAAAGAATATTTTTTCAAGGCTCTAAAGAAGGCGTGGATTTTTAAAGAATATTTTTCAAGGCTCTACATAAGGCGTGGATTTTTTAAAGAATATTTTTTTCAAGGCTCGGAAGAAGGCGTGGATTTTTTAAAGAATATTTTTTCAAGGCTCGGAAGAAGGCGTGGATTTTTTAAAGAATATTTTTTCAAGCCTCGGAAGAAGGCGTGGGTTTTTTAAAGAATATTTTTTCAAGCCTCGGAAGAAGGCGTGGATTTTTAAAGAATATTTTTTCAAGCCTCGGAAGAAGGCGTGGATTTTTTAAAGAATATTTTTTCAAGCCTCGGAAGAAGGCGTGGGTTTTTTAAAGAATATTTTTTCAAGGCTATAGAAACGTAAGTTATCTATTTTATATCTGTTTCCTGTGTTGCACTGTGTAATCAATAATCATTAACACTATACCTCACTGTCATCATATAATAAAATCCATTATTGGAGAATGGCAATTAAAGAAGAAGAAGATATCTATTTTTTATACCCTTCACCACACTGTGGTATAGGGTATTATGTCTTTGTGCATATGTTTGTAACAGACAAAAATATTCGAAATAGACCCATGGTTCCTTTTGAGTATATGCATAGAATCATTTTCTGAGTCGATTTACGCATGACCGTCCGTCTGTTGGTGTTAAATTGTAAACAAAGAACAGGTCGCATTTATAATCCGCTTTGGATAAAATTTGGCACAGCTTATTTGTTTGGCCCAAGGGCGAACCCTATTGAAATCGGTTTAGATTTAGATATAACTCCCATATATAGTTTCGTCCGATTTCAGGTAAATGGTGCACCAAAGTCCCTATGTATCTTTCGATTTGCAAGAAATTTGGCATAACGTACTGAATTGAGCCTAAAGTGATATCTGCCAAGTTTTGTGAAAATCGGTCCAGATTTAGATATAGCTCCCATATATATTTTTGTCCGATTTAAGGTAAATGGTGCACCAAAGATCCTATATATCTGTCGATTTGCACGAAATTTGGCATAACGTACTGAATTGAGCCTAGAGTGATATCTGCCAAGTTTCGAGAAAATCGGTTGAGATTTAAATAAAGCTCCCATATATACTTTTGCCCGATTTTAGGTAAATAATCCACTAAAGTCCCTATATATCTTTCGATCTGCACGAAATTTGTCGCAGCGTAATGAATAAGGTCTAGAATGATGTGTGTCAAATTTCGTGAAAATCGGCTGAGATTTAGATATAGCTCCCATATATGTTCTCGGCCGATTTATTATAAATGGTGCACCAAAGTCCCTATATATCTTTCGATTTGCATGCAATTTAGCACAGCGTAATGAATTAGGTCTGGAATGATGTGTGTTAAGTTTCCTGAAAATCGGTTCAGATTTAGTTATAGCTCGCATATATATATATATATATATATATATATTCATCCGATTTTATGTAAATGGTGCACAAAATGCCCTATATATCCTTCGATTTGCACGAAATTTGGCATAGGGTACTGAATTAAGTCTAGAATGATGTTGCAAAGATTCGTGAAAAGCTCCATAGCTAGGCCGTTTGACACATCGTACTGAAATTAGTCTCTGGCAATTTTCCCTGAAATCGGTTCAGATATAGATATATAACAAACACGCGACGTCTGTTAGGATACATATGTAGAATATACCCAAAGTGGTGAAGGTTATCATATAGTCGGCCCAGTACGACTTTACTACTTTCCTTACTGGTTTGTTTCTATTTTATGTGTTGCACTGTGTAATCAATAATCATTGACACTATACCTCACTGTCATCATATAATAAAATCCATTATTGTAGAATGTCAATTAAAGAAGTTTAACTTTCATATGATAACTATTATTTTAATTAAAGACATTTAACCGAACCTTCATAATGTGCGCCAGTCGCAATTGTGTGGAAAATAATCGACATCTGTCTAGCTCGTGTCTATTTGCATAAAGTTATTTTATAATGGATTTCCAACAAAAGGCGACAATTTTTTATAAATATTTTATTATCTCCCAGATAAGGCAAAGATTTTTTAAAAATATTTTTTTATGTCCCACACAAGGCGTAGATTTTTTAAGAATATTTTTTCCATATCCAATACAAGGTGTAGGCGTAGCGAAACAATCTTTGTATTGGATATGAAAACATTATTTTTAAAAAATCTACGCCTTGTATTGAATATGAAAAAAATATTTAATTTTTTTCATGAATACCCCTATTTTTAATTAAATAATAAATGGCTTACCATATTGCTATGTGGTGCATACTTTTAGGCGTTCGATAAAATTCATTTTAATTGATCTTAGATTAGATTTTGTGTTTGAAGAAGCCATTAATTTAAAAACAGTAAGAAAATGATTGTCGTTTTTTTGTCATTGTTTGTTATTCCATTAGCAATATCGTGCTATTGACCATCAATAACCCTGATATGTCAGACCAAGCATTTCACAAAATCTCAATACAATGTCCAATTAAAATATCCTTTCCATTCTTTTCGACTCTTCACCAGGTTTTGTTATCTTTTTCATGACATCTCATTGACATTGAAATTGAAAATGTTTACCATAACTTTTGTTGGCGATTGACCTCCATTCTCGATGACTAGTTCACTTGATGTACCAACGCAAGACAGCCTTGTTTACTTCCGCAAAATAAAATATAACTGGTTATACTCACCAGTATAGCCCAGACAGGAATGCAAGCTGAGCAAAAAAATTGCACAATGGAAAATAACAATAAAAAAGGTCAGTACAAAAAAAGTATTGCGTCACACAACTAACCGGTCGAACAACATAATATAATACAATAAATAAAAACGGTGTACGATTTTTTTAATAATTGTGGTGTTTAATGGGTGTTAATCTGATTTTAAATATCACCGGAAAAGCATTGATATGTCAATAGAAATTTAAAGTTGTTGAATATACCCAGCAAACAATTTGATAAGACTTACTTAGGTGGCTTGTGACAGAACTTTCGTTTCATAAGCCGAGCTTAAAAAAGATTTCCAGGCGCGTCGGTCTTTTGTGCAGGTTTTCCAGTTTGAAAGACCATATTCGGCGATGTTGTCTTCGATTTGATATTTTTTATATTATTCGTGGCTTTCCCCTTCTGCGTAAGCCATCATCTGGTTCGCTTTTATATGCCTTCTGGGCTGGGGCATCTTCATTCATTCTCACAACATGACCTAGCCAACATAGTCGCTGCAGCTCAATACGTCTAACAATGTCGATGTAGCGAAAATAGCATATATTCACCATAGATCTTTCGGAGAACTTTTCTTTCAAACACACCAAGAGCTGCCTCATCTGCTTGCCCAAGTACCCATGCTTCAGATCCATATAACAGCACGGGTAGTATCAACATCTTGTAAAGTGTGAGTTTGGTCATGACGGGAGGTGGCCTTGCTTTTGAGTTGTTTGCTCAGACCATAGTAGCATCTGTTGGCCATCAATATACTTCTCCGAATTTCAAAACTGATGTCATTCGTTTTGTTTATGACGGTACCAAGGTATATAAATTTTTTTGAATACCTCGAATCTGTAGTTCTCAAATTCCACAGTTGGTCCGAGTCTACTGGACGTCTTGCGCGTTGATACCATCAGTTTGGTCTTCTCGGCGTTTACTGTCAGAACCACTTTGGCAGACTCCTTCTCAATTTGTTCAAAGGTGGCTGTTACCGCTCGCAACGTTCGACCCATTATATCGATGTCATCGGGGTAGGCGATGTCGTTCGGTATTAAAGGGCTCCGAGAGGTCCTTTCCGACTTTAACTGCTGATCTTTGCCAGTTAAAGTTATCCTGCATAGCCGTATTAATTTTGCAGGAATGCCAAACGCAGACATGGCTTTATGCACCTCTGAAAGGATAGGGCTGTCGAATGCGGATGTATTTTTCGTGGCATTTCTCCAGGATTTGGCGCAGTGTAAAAATCTGGTCAATGGTGTATTTGCCAAGTCTGAAGCAGCATTGGTATAGTCCAATAATGTCATTGACCATTGGCTTCAGACGTTCACACAGTACGCTGGATAGCACTTTATATGCGATGGGAAGGAGACTTATTCCTCTATAATTGGCACATATCGTCTTGTCTCCTTTTTGTGTGCACGGGACACAGGATGCTGAGGTTCCAATCATTGGGCATGCATTCCTCTAGCCAAATTGTAATAATCAGCTGGTGCATGCTCCTTACCAGCATCTGACCACCAGTCTTGAATAGTTCGGCTTGTAAGCCATCATCTCCTGCTGCTATATTGTTCTTCAGCCGATTGCTTGCTATTCTGACCTCATGTGGCTAGGTGGTAAACACTCTATACCGTCATCTATTATTGGTTCTGGGGCATCACCTTCACCGCTACTATTTGATACCAGAAGTTTTTCAAAATGTTCCTTCCAGATCCTCAGCACGCTGTCTGCATCTGTCACCAGGTTTCCTTCTTCATCTCTACAGGAGGATGTGTCTGCACCAAAGCCTTCGGTTTGGCGTTTTACCCGTTGGTAGAATTTTCGCACTTCATGTTGACTCATGTACATCTCGATTTGCTCACGCCCACGTTTTTCTTTCTTCTTTTTTCTGGAAACACGTTTCTCCTCTCTCCTTTTCTCCCGATAATCTTCCATCACATTACGTGTTGCTACTGTCTGCAGGGTTGCCCTATACGCTGCGTTTTTCACATCAGTAGCATTACGACACTCCTGATCGTACCATTGGTTTCTTGATTGTGGTTTCTGCTACCTTCTGCTGCCTCTTGTGTTTGCAGCTTTTCGTCGTCGAATTTCCGTGTTATATTAAATCGCACATTTGCTGCTACATTACGACTGGTGCGTACCTTGGCTGCCACAAGGCAATGATCCGAAACGATATTCGCTCCCTGGATCGATCGGACGTCTAAAACACTGGACGAATGCCGTCCGTCTATCACAACATGGTCAATTTGATTTCTCGTTGCTTGATCAGGTGAAACCCTTGTGGCCTTGTGTATATCGAGATGCTTGAATCTGGTCCTGCTAACTACCATGTTTTTTTGCTGCCGCGAAGTCAATCAAACTCACGCCGTTGTTGGATGTTTCTTCGTGGAGGCTGGGGCCAAAGATATTTTCCCTTCCGATTTTTTGCATTAAAATCTCCTAGCAGAATTTTAATGTCATGCCGGTGGCAGCTGTCATATGCTGTTTCTAAGCGCTCGTAAAATATGTCTTTGGTCTGTTCATCTTTATCTTCTGTCGGAGAATGGGCGCAAGTGAGACTGATGTAGAAGAACTTCGCTTTTATTATTTCAATTCGCTCATCTACTGAAGTGAATCTGGAGACGAGGTGTTTTATTCTCCTTTTAACCATAAATCCGCAGCAAAATTCACGTCTCGTTTTATGGCAGCTATAATACAGGGCGTAATCATCTGATTTACTTACGCCAGCTCCTCCTCATCGCATTTCCTGTAAGGCAATAATGTCGGCTTTGTACTTCTTGAGTACATCCGCCAAAGCAAACACTGCGTCTGTTCTGTTCATTCCAAGTGCAGATTCGCAGATCGTGGTCCTTTAAACGTTTGCGGGGGTCGTCAACATTAGGTGGGTTTGGATTTCTTTTTCTTTGCTTTTTCATAGTAGGTTCGGTTTTCCTAGTGTGGGTAGCTAAACCGACGCCTCAACCTATTTTTATAGTTCTTATGGGTATTTCATCGGACTATACTATTTCATCGGATGATGAAAATAGGTACCCCAGGTGATCAGTGTCCACAATTGAGATAGAAGAGGGACTAAGATAAGCCTGGACTTCGCCATGTTAAAGCCAATCAGAGCCATTGCTTGGTATCTATCATCCCCTACGCCACACAAATTTGATAAGACACGAAAAAAATATTTAAAACAAAAATCTACGCCTTGTGTTGGTCACTAAAAAAATATTTTTGTAAAACTTTACGTCTTGTATTCGACATAAATAATATATCCAATTTATCTCCATACGAATTCATTTTTTTTTTCATATTGTCTTTTCTTTATTATCGTTTAATTATAAAAATTGTGTCATTTAAAATTCAAATTACCATTTTAGAAAAAAAATTACCATATTTATTGCCTATAACCTAATTGTTACTACCTTCTATTAGTTAACCAAGTAATTTAATTAATATATAACAACTAGATACCAAACTCGTGTAATTTTTGTAATTAATTAAAGACGCGATTTAGAAAAAAATCTTCCATGATTTATTATTATTATTTCCCGGCAATTATAAAACTGAAATAATTCCATGTAAAACAAGTTTCGCATGACAGCTTTACGTTTACATGTCGCGGTTATAAGTAATCAATACTATCTACCTACCTACCGGCCGGCAACATTTACTGATGAATGAACTCAGTAAAGGACGTTGCAGTGAAACATAAAATAATCTTTTATTACTTCTTTGTTTGTTGTTTTTTTTTTCTTCCCATAAAATATTGTTTTTATTTTAAATAATTGTCAATAACGGAACCTAATGTTTTGTTTAGGTTTGTGGTTGTTGTATTTTGTTGAATGGAATTTTTTGCATGAAGTGTTGTCGGTAATTTTAATTGTTGGTCATTAGAATTTATGTATTTTTTTTTTCATTCGATACGAAATAAGTAATAGTATTTTTTTATTAGATTATATGGGTCATTCCATTATAAATTAGTTAAAATAAATATTAAGTGTTTGTGATTTCAAGCATTGGATGATTATTTTGTGTTAAATACATAAAACACAATTATCTCTTTCACATAACTGAATGAAATATGAGATTCACTCATTCCATATGAAAAGACTTAGATAACAAGCATTACTAGTGAATTTGTGACTGTAAGACAGGCACGGGCAGAACATAAAAAATTCTGTTCTCACGCACTTGTCTTTGTGTGTGTGCCAATGGTTTTTCAATTGGTTCAGTTGAATGTGTGTGAGAGAATAGTGATAATTACTCTCGCGAGAGTGCACGCGTGCGGTGGTTCGCCCGACTGTGCTGTAAGAGAGGATTAGGAAAGAACTGAGATGGAAGCATGACAGAGAGAAGAACAACAAATACTCATAACAGTTGAAGTAAAAGACTTAAGACACGAACATTGTTGCGTTATAATGGCTAGATTGTTTTTGTGTAAAAGTGTGTGTGTGTGGGAAAGAGATGAAGATAGAGAGCGACTTACTAAACATTATTCACATGACAAAAGACTTAAGACACATACTTTATCGTTCATTCAATTGTAAATAAATTGTGAGAGTGAGGAATATATCACAAGGAAGTGTTCGACACACAAAAAAATATATTTTTCAAAAATCTACGCTTTGTGATGGACGTGAAAAAACAGTTTTAAAAAATCTAAGCATTTCCTTATCATGGACATGAAAAATATTTTTAACAAATTTGTAATTAAAAAATTACACATTTTACCACTAAAAAACATCTATCATTAAGAAAATATTTTAAAAAAATCTACGCCTTGTTTGGCCTTGAAAAAATAACATTTTTTAAAAATCTACCCCTTGTGTTGGCCACAAAAAAAAAAAAAAAAAAAGATTTTTAATACTGTCGTGTGAGTGACCGAAGATAAACCAAAGATTAACGACACTTTCACA